TAGATTCCTTCACTACTACTGTCTTTTACCTCCACTATCTACAATACTCTCATCACCTGAAAACAAACCATTCATATATTTATCGTTGAAACCCTTCCAAGTACTCTCCAACCATGGCTATTACTACGTATACTTACGCAACCCATAACACATCACATAGATCAGTAGCCATGGTGATGGCTCTAGTAGTGTCAATAGTGCTGTCACCACTGTATGTTGTGAGAAGATCAAGAAATGAGCAGAGAAGATATTATGAGACCAAACTCGACTCTGGTTTTGTTCTTCCTCTGCTTATTGCTGGGTTGATAATCGCCATCAGAACTACTTCAGGTTCTTCTTTGTCCACACGGAGATATTCGCTGCTTCCTTCGCCAGATCCTTGTTGGGTGCTTAGAATTGGGAGCTCATCGTGGGGACTCGGGGGACTCCTGATCTTGCTTCTTCTTGTTTTATCATGGCAGGACTCTCTTCAAGATTTTTTTTGGAGATAGAGTTTTTTTTACAATGTCTGAGAAATTGGTGCAAATTAGGATCCTCTGCATCAATTCAAGAATCTAGCTCGGTGGAATGTTGTCGTCTAATTAATAATAGATAAGATTGAGAAACCAAATAATTCAGCCTTCATTGAATCTAGTTAGCGTGTTTATTTCCTTTTGCTTTTCTTTCAGTAACATTTTTTATGGCATAATAGAACCATAGAACTGTTCTGTACAGCAAGTAATGCATCGTGCATCTACAAGAATGACTAATTATCACTAGATCCTACCACTATAAAAGAGAATCAAACAAGAGTCAAACGAAGGTCAAATTCTCCACCCACTGCCTCCAATGTCGTCCGTGTAATGAATCACAGATGAATATCAGCTTCTCCAGCCAATCGTGCTATTTATCGGGGTACCAGTGCTTGACATAGCCAGTCCACGATTGTACATGCGCTGAATCTCTTCCCTGTACTCCATCAAAGACTTATCAGGTATTGTAGGAGTCAACTCCACAACATCCCCCATCTTCAGCTTACATGTGGGATCACTCACTGGCTCATGGTTCAGCCTTGGCCTTAGTTCTTCCTTCACAGACAAACCATATATACTACATTTTGAGCTTCCCCACCCAACTCTTGCAAGCAGATCCATCATTGTCGACTCTGCCGGAAGCTCTTGCACCGACATCTGCGACAGTAAAAATTGGAAACAAATTACAACTTGTCAGCCGTTGACAAAATGAATATTAAATTACATAACGAACGTAAGAAACATTTCCCCGTAGAAGATTTATCCAGAGAAAATGCAGCAAGCGATACTGGTAATGGTTAATTCATGGTAAGGAGAAAAATACAAACATTCTGACTCAATAGATCCTCCTGTACCATAAAGCCAAAACATGGATTACTTCTTTAAAGAGTATAAACCACACATGAAGTTGTTTTGATAAAAAAGTTTCCAAGGCCTGGGCAGGTTTAATGTGTTTCAACCGAGGCTAAACGAATGTCTAGATAACAATCAAAACTACAGTCTGAAAGGAACAACAAACCACAATTCGATTACCAAACTGTTCAGCTGTACCCACTTCGTTAAATATAGAATGGATGAATACAAGCAGCGTCAGAGACAAACCTTATCATTTTCAATCATGATGACAAAGACAGGTCCATCCTCACAACAGTGTGGCTTATAGGAAAATGGGCAATCATCAGAATGAGAAGGGAATTTGCAGGGTGGCTTGATGGAATCAGAATAATCAATAGAAGTCTGGTCATTATTTATTGTTTCACAATGCCAGGTTATAACCCATCGTGCCCACTCAACCATCTGAACCACAAAGGAAGAGTGCTTGCAGTCACCTTCCTTGTATCTCCAGTGAGCTGCAAATCCAAACTCCGCTTGTAAATGCATCTCCTTAGTTCGAATTTGCACTTCAAGAGGAACTTTTCCTTCACCCATAACAACTGTATGCAAAGACTGATACCTGTCAATCAAATCAATAGTTAGTAGAGAAAAGAGTAACAAATATCACACCAGAATTTATGAAGATATAACATACCCATTGAACTTGGGATGAGTTATGTAGTCCTTAAGCTTTCCAGGTACTTCAGACCATAACTGGTGTACAACTTCTAAAGCACTATAACAGTCCTCCTTGTTTTCAACAATTAAACGTAATCCGTGAATATCATGGATTTCATTCATGGTTAGCTTTTTTCTGCACAATATGAAATACCACAAGTTAGGAGAATCCTTCATAACTATACTAATACTGCATACTCATAAACGGTTAGAAAATGGCATATGCTAACCACTTTTATTTTAAACCTAAAAAATAAAGGAGCCCAGATATTTAATAGATGATTAACAGAAACAGAATATCCTTCAGAAAATGGATTCCACCATCTGAATGAATCCTTAAAGTAACACAATATCAAACTTATAAGAAGGCTAACATAACTTTAGGCCTTTTTGGAACGAAATAGTTTCGGCAAAAATCCAACTAACAGCCAGAAAAACTAAATAGCTTATAATACCATAACTCTATGTGCCAGAATTGATACTGAAGATATACAGATACATCTGCAATGCATCTAGCATATTTGCATGCAGACACGAACATGTCTGACCATGTAATATTTGATAACTTACAGAGTGAATAATCTGTGTGTGTGTGTATATATATATATATATATATATAGAGAGAGAGAGAGAGAGCACATACTTCAACATTTTGCAGTAGATGCTATACAAGCTTTTATGCCTTCCAGATAGAACGTGATACGAAATGCCTTTCTCCTTAAGAGCTTGCTCTAGTTTGTCTATAGCAGAGGTAACCATTGCTTCATCAGATGATTCCATAAGTCTAGAGGACAGTTCTTTGTGCTGGTCTGGGTTGACATGCTTGAAACACAGATTTTCTAGTTGTACCTTCCAACTATAGATTCCTAATCGATTGGCCAAAGGTGCAATATTTCTAAAGTTTCCTTAGCAAACCGCTGCTGCTTAACCAAAGGCAACGCATCAAGAGTCATCATATTATGCAATCGATCTGCCAATTTAATGAGAACAGCCCTAGCATCTGCCATCGCTAGGAACATGGTGTGCATGCGATCTGCCTCAACAGACCTGCTAGCAGTATTGTTCTCACGAGCAAGTTGACTCAGTTGGCTGAGCTTGGAAACCTATGTTAATGCCAGAAAAGAGAAACTTATTCTCCTCTGAGGATAAAAATCCATATACAATAGACTAACACAACAGGAAGTACAAGAAAGTGAACACATTTTCAATCAAGAGAACAAATGAATATTTTCATTGCACACCATCCTCTAAGGGAAATAGTCAGATGGATGAGAGAAGTACCAAAAACAAGTCAACAAATGTTAGCAACAAAAATGTATGGGATTAGATCTCCCCAAGAGTGGCAGACTTATTCAGAAAAATCTTATACCTAAGAAGGGACTATGATTATATAGTCAATCCAGAAACCCGAGAAATATGATAACCCAAGGTCAAGGCATTAAAAATTTCTGAATTTCTCAAGCTAGTACAAAACAGAGCAATATGCAAATAAGATAGCAGCAAACATTCTCATAAATATTATTCAAATGACAAAATAAATAAAGATGAAGAATACTGTTTACTCATATAAAGACAACATCTACATACACACCACCAAGTGAGAGAAACCAAAGTTCCACATCATAAACATTTTCTCATTGGCTGACAACTCGCAATATGTTCTGGTTTAACTGATCTACGATTTAAGATTTAATAAAGAAACCCAGTTAACAACAACTCAAATTAAATGCCAAGGAGAGCTCAGACAAAGCTCCATAAGGCATGTATTGTACAGGTCTCAGAATAAAGTCATCAGATAACACAACATTCAATATGAATTATTTTTCTTACCCCTTCAACCAAGTCAGCAACCCCTGCTCCAAATGTCCTGAAGATATACTCATAAGTCAAATAGGAATCATCAAGCGCATCATGTAAAAGACCCGCAGCAATCACGGAGGAGTTAGCACCAATTAATGCCAAAAGCACTGCAGTTTCCACGCAATGTTGCAAATAAGGATCACCACTTGCACGCCTCTACAAGAAAGACAACACAACCATCTCAACTAAATATTTGTAAAATAAATTTCCAATGATCAAAACACATAATGAAGATCCATGTTCAATCTGACCTGCCCTCTATGTGCCTTCTCAGCCTCGTGGAAAGCCTTAATCACAAAATCATCAAAAAATATTTTGTGCCTCATTTGTGCACCCAACAGCAACTCTTTTGCACGAGGTTCAACATTGCCTCCCACAAAACTATCCTCCATGTTAAACGTCAGTTCATCAACAATAACTGAAGAAGACGAGCCTTTATCAATAGAACCGTCACTGTCTGCCTCAGAACTCGGCGAATCATAATCAACGCACGAACCCAGTGCATTTCTAATGAACCCATTAAACAAAACATTAGCGTTTCCTCGGAAGGAGATATCAAAGTTCTTATCTCGGGAAATTCTCATTGGTGGACTCCTTGCAGACCCAACTCCACCATTAGAACTGCAGGAAAACGGACCCTGAAGCACCGAAACCGGGCTCTGGTCCCTTTTCAAATAAGACCCACCGCCGAATTTACTCGGTGAATAGCGGAAGGAGCTGCTCAAACTCAATTCTTTCATTTCCTCACCTCTGTCGTGCCATAAAGACCCCAAGTCCTCCCCTCCTCCGGAGAAACTCGAAGAAGAAGAAGATGCGTGTTTGACGGACGACGACGAGAACAAACAAGACAATCCACCAACGATCGTTTTCTGTGAAGATGATGCCGTGGACGTAGCCGAAGAAGAGGGCCTGGAGTTCAACTCGAAATCACACGATGCATGAGCATTGATCTGGTGCGTCGTGGAACACACACTGCTAGGTGGACTAGCGTAGAGTGCTATTGTTGTGGGCACAGCCATGAAGGGGCGGTTTTTTGTGATCGGAAGTTTCTGGGATTTCAGATCACAATTTGACAAGGAATTCACAGATCGAGAAAGACTCTCACTGAAATCGAAATTTTTGTTTAAGACGTTTTCTTTTTCGTGGAAAGAAACCAACTATTCTAGAAACCAAGCAATAATTTTCTCTGAAAACCTAGAAGTTTTCCCTAAAAAGCAACCAATTCTGTGAAGAAACAAATAGTTTTTCTCCCAGACCCAATAATTATAATAAATATTTTTTAATAGGAAATTGGATCTAGGGGTTTATGTACGTATATATACAGAAGGAAAGAGCAGAGAAATGAGGGATTGAAGAAAATATTTTCTAGAGAGGTAGTATGAAGAAAGAGTATGTACAAGTCTATACGAATTAAGACGTAGAAATTGACAAATAAAAAATAAAAAAATCACACCTTAAACTCGGAGTGAATTTTTCAAAGTGCTAACCCTAATTGTGAGAGAATGAAAGAGAAGGTTTGTTTGTTGTTTTGATTTTCCTGGAAGAAACTTCTCCTCCTTTCTCTGTGCTCTTATTCGCTTAGCAACCAGGCGACGGAACAGTGAAATTACGAGACTGTCCTTGGAATTTTGATGCAAAGCAGTGAAATATTCAAAACTGTTGATAATAACGGATAATCTAAATTAAAGATTTGTGATTAAATTAATCAATCAATCAATTAATTAAAAATTGTTGGGTTAATTGGAATTTAAATATAATAAGAAGTAGATTGATCTGGCCATACAGTTATGATTACTGTAAAATCAAATCTTAACCAATAAAATATAAATGGGGAGTTTTTTAAATATATCCGATCCAGCTCAACGGAAGATTGACAAATCACAATTATCTTTTTAAATATAATTAGCTGGTAGTGTATGTTTAATTATAATTTAATTTCTAATTGGGTGTTTGGGCTTATCTAAAATACGATTAGATGTTGGAACTAAACGTAATTAACATATTTACACATGGACATTATCTAATCACCCACTTGCAGTGGGCTCCACCATCTTGATATTTTTTTCTTTTTTTAATAATTATTTTCAGATTTATTCATTTTCTTAACCATATATATATATATATATTAATAAAACGACTGCAATATATATATATATATACATATGTATTCATCTTTTTTACCTTGGTCTTTTTATTTTTAGTCCATCTCAATTATATCTTAAATTAATCTTTTCATTTTAAAAATTATTTAAATTAATCTACTTCTATTAATAACATCGAACAATGTTAATATTCTTTAACATATATCACTAAATTTGACAAATGATACCTTTTAATTAAATAAATTTTATATTAAATATTATATATTGTTTCACATTATATTTAATAAAATAAATTTATAAAATTTAATATGATTTAAATTGATTTTGAATGTTACATTTAAAAATATATCACATAATAAATCATGTAGTATCTAACGTTAAAATGTAAACAATAAGATGTAATGTTTAAATTCGATTAATTCAAATTTTTTAGAAAAATATAAAAACTAATTTAATAAAAAATTAAAACGGATAGTGAATTTAATAAAAGTAAACATACATTGTCTAAATATTAAATTATTAATTATACTAGTTTTAATTATTAAAACTTATTATTATTGTAATAATTTTTTGCTTTTTTGGACCGTATATTGAAAAAAAAAATACACATGTTAATCGTTACATGTTAAATACAATTAACATTGTCAATGAATTTGATATATGGTAACAAGTTGAGCACGTGACCCCTTTGATTAGGAAACATCACACACAATATGACATTTGACATAGAAAAAATAATTTAAAATATTAGTTTTTTAATATAAAATAAATTTAAAAAAATAAATTATTCTTATTTTACAGAGAGGAAAAACATTTTTTATTTAATTCTTTATTAAAAATAAGTTATTTTTATACTATAAATTAAACATTTAACATGAAAATTGGAAAAACACTCACTTTTTTACTTGCAATTATGTGACAAATTCTATAACAATATTATTAATAGCATTTAATAGACATGAATTAATATAAATATTTTTTAAAAATAAAATATCAAAAAAATAAAAAATTTATATAAAAATTACATTTAATATTTAGGCCTAACTCAATATAATTGTAGAGACTCCGAAAATATCAAATGAAATAAGTTATAAATTAAGTGCGAAAGCTAATAAAAGTTAAAAGCTTACATTTCTTGCACAATAATTTAAAGTATTAAACAGTATTACAGAATTCATTATTTCAAAATAAATACAAGAAATAAGGAAATGAACGAAAAATAAAGAAAACTAGAATCTACTCGCATTCCTCTTGCAGATCGGGCTCTGGAACCTAATTCTCTTGATATGAAATTATTAAATAAGGAGAGCTAGCCCAATAAAAATATCATATTATATCACCAACATATAAGTAAAAGTTGATATAAAATTAAAAAACACTAATTGAGCACTAAATTTGACAAATTCATTTAAATGATAATAAAAATTATTTACCGTTCACTTACCGTAGTAGGATTCATAAAAACAATCTATACAGACAATATGTAACACCCAACATTTATTTTTTTTAGTTTATTTTTTTATAAATATAATTATTTATTAATTGAATTGATTTTATTTTATTTTATTTTAATAAAATAATAATAATAATAATAATAAGGGTAAAAAATTAGTTAATGATTTAATTGAAAATAATTTTGAAAAAAATGAGTGAAAATTTGGGTTCTAGAGGTATTTTTGAAAGAAAAATCAGAAATCAGATGTCAAAACACAATTTAGAAAAGTTACACCACGTCAGATGCCCGGTCAGCAACCCCGACCAACCAGGACGTGTTAGGTGGCAGAGGTGCTGACGTGGGAGGCCACACGGGGGAGCCACGTGGGAAATCCGTGTACGCGCGATCGAACGGCTAAGATTTGTTCCCGCGCGTACGGACAACCCATATTGAAAACATGCACAGACAGTTCAAATTGCATCGCGCACAGACGGTCCAGATTGAATCACGCACGGATGACTCAGATTGAATCGCAATGAACGGTTCAGATTAAAAGTGATGGACCGCCCAGATCAAAAGCGAATAGGTATAAATAACCCCATCCACACTCAAACCCTAACCCTAACTACCAGAGCCCCTCACTGGAGAAAACAACCCAGTCGCCGGGGAGCCGACCGCCGCCACCTGCCGTCATGCCAGATTTTCGAAATTGGCCGAGTAGCCCTGAGACTGATTTTTGGGTTTATTTGGGACATTTATAAGCATTGTAAGCGGGTTTCAATTCCTGAAGGAAAATTCAGGGAACTTAGGGACTGCCCGTAGACGCAGTAACCATTTAATTTTCGGTGTCGAATCAGGTAAGGATCTCTCACCCTATTTTCTATCATAGATGTGAAGTTTGTAATAAATAATAATACAGTCTTTTGTACGAATTAGATAAATATGCATAATTAATTATGGATTGCTAATGGAGCCCAAAATTGTACATTGTTCTCTGTTGATTCATGTTGATTTATTTTACAATTTAAAGAAATGATGGTATCTGATTTAGAATTTTAAATGCATGTATTACTGTCTTACTTGAACACTGTGTGATTTTAGAATCTAGGATATGATTGTATTACCGGGTGTATGTTCATTATTTATGTGATTGTGTTTAATTTGGTAACGGAAATTAAGGAGAAATAGGAAAGGGATGTGATCTAATTAAACAAATAAGGTGACAGCCTCACTAGATATCCTAGGAGATGGTGGACGGATCGGGATCATAGGGAACCCTACCATGAATGTTGTCTCATACTGGATGGGGTCTGGGGGGCCCGCTTCACCCTTATACCGGACGGAGTATTGAGGTTTAATCTCTTGGCACTCATACCGAACGGGGTATGGAAACGGCCCTGGAATTAAGATTGTTAAGGAAAATGGTTCATGTGTAGCGATGACACCCCTACGGATCCCCATGGATACTAATAGGCTGGTGAAACGAGAAACGGTGATAATTAGTTATTGTTGATGAATATGCATTTATGATACGTTCTATGTTACTGATTGTGCATGAAATTATAGTCTGTATGATGTTATTGTCTTTATAAGTTATTTTCACAGATTTCCCAATGGTAAATAAAAGGGTAAATAGTTTTACTTTTAATGAATGTATTGGTTTAAATTTAGTGCTCCATTAGTTGTTTTGGGTTTTCTACCAACATTTACTTCTGTACCGGCGATATAATATGATGTCCTTATTGGGCTAGTGTAGCTCATCCCTTATTTAACCATTTCAGATTAGGAGGACCTGATTC